CTACATGGAGGTCCAGCAATATAGCCATTACACCAACTGCTGGTCCCTGGGTCAAGTATTTAAACCATGGTTGCAATGAGGATCCAGGTTCTCTTGAGCAACACATTAACAATGCGCCACAGAGTGGCCTTATTATCCATTTAACAGGTAAGGATATCTTGATAGTTTTAATAAATTAGACATATACTGACGAAAGTACTTGAAATGTTTTTCAGTCTCTGGAAACTAACCAAATGGATACAGCAAAGGAAGAACCATTTAGTCAAAAAAATCTACTGAAAGTTCATAAAAAACTGAAAGTCTGTGACATACGCGTCATCATCTGCAGATTTAAATATTTTAACTGGCCATGCTTGTTTTACTAGGAACCAGGTCTATGAGCACTGGACACTTATCCTAAAAGTAGGATTCATAACTTTTTAAATGTTACCATACTATTGGGTCAGCAGATGGTGCAGCAGTTATGTTACTGGACTTCCATATAACCAACCTAGGTTTGAGTCCTGGACCTGGTGGCTTATAAGTCAAGCTGGGTACATGTCCATGTATGTCCAAGATCCCAGGAGAAGGGACTGTGGTATGGCCGTCCCCCCCAGGGTGGGAGTGATTTCTCACTTTCCCTCTCACTGTGTGTGTCTCTCGCTTCAGTGAGTGCCCTAAGGCAAAAACCTATTAATTAATTAATTAATTAATTAAGAAGTTGCCATACTATCTTTCATTACACATTCTTTTTAAATCCCAAGTTTGAATAAATCTACCATTTTTCTTGATTTAGGCTTGATAAGTGTGCATGACAGAATGAATATATTTTTAGGAGTACGGGAAAGTCTAAGCTTACAGGTACATTTGGAAACAGTAGAGATGTTGGTACAAGCAATTAAGAGAAGGAAGGTAGCACCTTTTAATGAAAAGCAATGAAGTAAAGCACACACCAGTTCACTAGAGAGAACCAGGAAAAATAATAACTAAGAGGAGTCCTCCTGGAGTCAGAGGAAAGGTCTAAGGCTGGCCACAAAAACTACCTGTGTGAGTTTAACTAGGTCAAATTATGCTGCAATTTATGCTCAGGGCATTGTCAAAAATGACAGAGAAGTCAGCTGGCAATGAGTGGAGCCCAAGAACTAGTTATGATCCCAAAGAAGGTAGATAACTTATCCCTTTCCTTACCAAGGAGATAGATAATCAAAGAGTAACCACTGCTATCTTAGAGTGACTTTGTGCATTATCAAGGCTATGTTTCTGAGGAGAGACACCAAAGACTTCACACTACAGGGGAAATAGCTTTCACAAAAATAGACTTCACATTACAGGGGGAATCGATTTCATTAAAAAAAATCTAGGCAAGTCACTATACACATAACAAAAACTAGAAAAGGGGAAAAGAAAAATAATACCCAGAGCTACTACAATTAAATGTTCAGTTTTCAACAAAAAATTACCAAACAGGCAAAGAAACAGGAAAGAGAAACTCGTACACTGCACACAAAAAGCAAGCAAGAGAAACTTACTATGAGAGGGCTCCGATGTCAGGTTTAAGACACTAAAACTTCAAAGCAGTCTTTAAAGGTATAGAACACAAGGAAATCATAATTAAAGAAAGGAAGGTATGGGGCCGGCAGGTGACGTGGTGGTTAAGGTGCTGGACTCCTGCATGGAGGACCATGGTTTGGGTCCTGAATCTGGCAACTTGCTTTCTCATTTTTTTTGTTTCTCTCTCTCTCTGGTCAAATTAAAAAGTTAAAAAATAAATAAATAAATAATTCTTTTAAAAAAGAGAGAAAGAGAAAGGAAGGTCTGATAACAATGTCTTATCAAACAAAGAATACCAATAAAGAGACAGAAAGCTGTAGCAAAAGAGCCAAACAGAAATTATGCAATTGAAAAATACAATAATCAAAGTGAAAAATTCACTAGACAATTGAAAGAGTAATCCCTATAGCCTAATGGTTAAAGAAACTTAATCCTATGTGCCCAGCTGCAGCTCAAATCCTGGCCATGACGACTGGAAAAACACACCAGGTATGTGTGCATGCATGCCTCAAAATCGCAAAACATAGAGAAATGGAGGACAAAGGACTGCAGCAAGACCATGCCCCACTGAAGGGTGCTTTCTCCCTCTCTACCAGGCACATGCACCCTCTGGTGATTAAAACAACAAAATGGGCCAGCAGGTGGTATAGTGATTTAGGCCCTGGACTCCCATATGTCTGACTTCCATATGGCCTTGGATCCAGTGGCTTAAAAATCACCTTGGATCCAGTGGCTTGAAAATCACATTGGATTTTGGGCTGTGCATGTGTGCCCAAAATCCCAGGAGGAGAATGGAGAAAAGAAGGGATTGTGGTAAGGCCATCCTCCCTGTGGGGGTGATTTCTCACTTTCCCTCTCACTTGCTCTCTGGCCAGCACATGCACCCTATGGCAAAGACCTTAAAAAAATAACAAAATGAAATGTGAAAAAAGAATGAGAAAAAATAAACAGAGCCTCAGAGAAATGTGAGACACCACTGATAGCACCAATATATACACATGGTACTAGAAGGAGAGGAGAAAGAGAAGACAAAAACATTTG